TGTGTGTGTGTGTGTGTGTGTGTGTGTGAGGGGGAGTTAACACTCAACAGGCAGAACGCAAACACTGACGTTGACATACACACTGTAAAGTATCTTTCACAACTCTACCTTCAAGCCTTCAGCCTCTTTTTTACCTTTGTTCTTTCCCTCCCTCCCTCCCTCTCTCCCTCCATCTCTCCCTCCCTCTCTCCCTCCCTCTCTCCCTCCATCTCTCCCTCCCTCTCTCCCTCCATCTCTCCCTCCATCTCTCCCTCCATCTCTCTGACTGGGATTAGTGTTCTGAGATCAGTGTGGCTGTAATGCCCTTCTTGGTAGACTGACAGATGATACAGGCTGCCCTTTGGGCTCCAGTCGGAATGGCTACAGATCAATACCCGAGCTGGCTGCCTGTCAGCGTTCACACAAACACGCACAGATGCTCACACAGCAAACGCACACACACATTCACGTGCAAGGCCATAGCATCAAAGCCCATCTGAGCCAGCTGGCATTTACAGGAACAGGACCTGGATGTGTGCAACACAGCAGGAGAGGGCATTCCCGGGATAGTTCCCACCCTGGAGGAACATCGTGGTTGGAGGATGACGGAGCGGTGGAATGCCGATCACAGATTCCTCTGTGGCTCCGCCGGCTGGGTAAATTAAGCAGTTTGGAACAGACGAACTGACTGAGTGACCGGACAAAGCAACAGGTTGAGGAAACAATGGAGGTTGACATGCCTCTCTCTGTCTGCGTGTGTCAGGGTGGCCGTTTAACCTCTGTGGGAGGATTTGTGTGTGGTAATTTGTGAGTGACAGCACACTGCTGTGGAGCTAATGGTTGTTGCTCCATTAGCGGAGAATATGGGGTGAAAGTTCAAGCTTTAGATTCATTCACTACATGAAGAATAATGTGCAGTATTTGTGAGTGATAGCGTCTATTCCATTTTTTAAGAAAATTGAGAAAATACTTTTTTTGGCAATAAGTCTCTGGTGAGCTCCTCAACATCAAGCTCCACTCAGGCACACATGGGCAGAATAATTACCCATCTGGATGAAGAAATTAGAAATCTCTCCTTCACTAGCACCAATGTCATGTGCAGAAAACATCGGACGACTGAGAATGGAAGGAAATAAAAAGGAAATATTGTGAAATTGTTTTTTTATTTATCTTTATTCAGAATAGTGGCTCATTATTCTACAATTCATGCAGCCCTGTATGCAAGCACACATGCAAACAGCTGCACACTCAGTATATACACCGTTACATTATTTATGCTGACAATGATAAACGTATTAGAAGAACCAATTTCTTGTAAAATGGAATGACGGAAAGCTGAATTGCACATGCTGCCTGCGTCCACCATCTTTGCAAACAGAACCGATGTGCACTGACCTATACAAATAAGCTGTATTGCGATTGTTCCATCACGTGTTGCGTCACCGATCCTTGCTACATACATAAAAATCAGAGTAGCATAAATAATGCAGACACTGATTTGACACACCGGCACCCCCACACTCAACTTGCGTACCACCTCCCTCTCTCAAGCAGGCAGTAATTTATTGTCTTCCACTGCCATAGCAGAGTCAATCAATAGCCAATTAAAGACCGGCATATAAGGTCTCCAGTGGTAACCGGTTCATGTGGTATCATTTGGCCGGGGAAATAAATATGTAAATGGTTCACTGGCATTAGTCAGTATCTTACAACAAGCACAACAGGAGGCGTATCAATAATAGTCTCCACACACACACACACACACNCACACACACACACACACACACACACACACACACACACACACACACACACACACACACACACACACACACACTGCAAGGCCGCTCTTGGTCAGACAGGCCCGAGGGAGCTGTTGTGAGACGTACTCGTATCTGTCCTTGACTGTCAATGTGACTGAATGGCCAGTTGAAGAGACCATTATTTAGTCACTCACACCTACACACATACAGTGTGAAAATGTAATGTTTAAGATCTTAAGCCAAGACGTACGATGCTGAACAACCTCAAATGCTCTGTTTTCTCTTTTGCCCGATGGCACATTTCACCATGAAGCTGATGTCATGAAGCCTCATGTTTCCTCTCTTTCTCTATCCTGTACTGCTGCACACAATCTCTCCATGAGGAGAAAGGGACAAGTGAGGTATGTGTGTGTGGGGGGGGGGGGCATTGTCGAAGCAGCAGTGTAAAGAACAGACGGCTGAAATGCAATATTTTCCCTGCAGACAACTTTTCAAACATGGAAGATGCTGAGGATATCGTCTGACTTTGCATCATCTTGTGCTGCTTCAGTCTCAATAATTTATACGCTCTGATATGGCTGATACGGAAAACGAGACAGAGGAGGAGGCCCCTTAGTTCAAAACAAGTGATCATAAAAGAGAACTTTTTGATTCACAATCTTAAATAAAGCTTTGAATAACATACAATTTGAAATATCACACTGCTATAATTGCATAATTTAACAATTTAGTAGAAACCATGTTGTGTATCATTTGTCTGGGCGTCTATAAACTGATGGATGTGCTTTTAAAGCAGGGAATCAATAACAAGAAGACTCGATTAAAAGTAAATTGACATTGTATTGAGAAATACACTTGATCATAAAAAGGAAATTAAAGTGTCACGAAACCTTGAAACTAAGTAGTAATGGAGCTTGGCTGCACTGAGCAGCTACAGGACCTGGCAATGGTGAAATGTATATGTATCGATTTAATGCTACTTATATTCCATTACATTTATCTGACAGCTGTAGTCATTTGTAATATAGATGCCAATTTTATATTGAGACCAATAACTGAACAATGACATCAAACATTTGTACAGATTAAGCTGTTAAACTTAGCTCAAACTTAAGTAAGTGTTATACTTTCCATATCTGAGTGTAAGCTCAGGTTTGCTTGATGAAAATCACGAGTGTACATGAGGCTCTGTGTGGATGTCCATTTACCCAGACTTGCCCACCCTGGTCCGTATGGTCTCTACGCTGCAAGAGCATCAACAAAAATCCATTAATAAACTGTTTTCAGTTGTAAACTCTGGAAAATGTCCAGAGAGTCGGGTCAGGTTATCCCAACTTTGCTTTTTATATAAGAACGCATCAGGAAATGTCCTGGATATTCAGGACTCCTTACAAGACAGCTGGCAGGAAGATTGTCCTGTGCAATTTCTCAGACATTTGAGTTCTAATGTAAAGCCCCTCCAGATAGTTTCTGCGGAGAATATCCAGAGTTCACTGCACGTCTTAAATCAGCTATTGTGAAACATGAAGGCAGCACAACACAAAGAGGAACTAGAGAAGATCTGTCTCACACAAACGCAAACACACAATCAAAGATAGCTCTAACATCCTGCTGACAGTAAAGCAGGATGCTCAGATGTCTGGGGAACAGAGATGCACCATGGGAGAGAGAGCGTGTCACTTAATACATACAAAACCTTGAGCCCTTCAATCCAAAACACCCATAAATAATCTGCTGCCCTGGAACTTTACACCTCGATACGGGGCCTCTTTAACACTCATCCTCTTGCATGAATAGCACTGCTGCCTCCCTCACTAGCTGCCCATCCCTGTGCTCTCTCTCTCTCCGCATTCGTCCTTCCACGGGCTTTGACACAAAGGGCGCCGTCAAAGAGTCTCACGGTTCAGCTCCGCTTTAATCTCGAGGCACAGGTTATCTGTTGCCCGGCTAATTTTAGTGAGCCCCTCTAAGCTTCAAAGAGCAGAGCGGGTTCCATGCAGCAGGGACCTCTGAGTAAAGGTATCAGTTTCCTCCCAACACTTTCAGTCAAAAGCATTCACCCTCAAATTTATGGAGCTCCACCGTACTCTGGACAAGAAAATCCACCCCGCTACATCTGTATCCTAATCAACTCAGCATGCAGAACAATCCCAGGTGTGAGGATGCAAGATGGAATAAAATAAATCCTTGTTGAATAAACATGGCTGTACGCCAGAGATGTTAGGAAGAGTGCTTTCAAATCCTCCAGGGGAATTAGACTCTCTCAGTTTCATTTTGCTGTGATGTTAACATGTTGTTGTTTGTGGCAGGGCAAAGCAGAAATCTTACCTTTCCTTGACGAGCGAGAAGCAGGAAGAGAGACTGTCTGCACCTTAGGCTGGGAAGGTCAAACGTCTGTGAAAAAAAAAAAATCAGTCAATAACTGGACATACCGTCAATAAAAACCATGCGCACGGAACAGTATTCTAACATTCTTTATTTGTTTACTCCTTCATTTACTAAATCAATCAACCGGTGAGAGATCTGCTGCAAGCTTGTATTCCCCAACTCCACGCCACCGAGTCCCACAAATTATAATGTCCTGGAGAAACAGGCTTATTCAAACTATAAATCAGGAATATAAAACCTCAGTCTTGTATTTGACCAGCCTGAGGTTGTTATAAAAATTTGAACAGCCTCCACAGCGCAACCTCTGGCAAGTGTGTTTGCAGCAGTTTACACAGCAGTGCACTAAAGTTGTCTCCCTGTGATTTTACACAATGGCCAGCCAGCTGGTCCGAGCCTCGGTCAAGACCATAAAGCTCTCGGAGTGCGACCTGGCACCCTGCAGCACGGAACTGAGTCAGAACATGAAGGCCTGGCAACACGTTGAGGTGAATGGGTGAGTCTTGAAAGAAAACCCCCTCTGTATCATTCCTATCTGGGAGTGCACATATGCCATTCTCTTTCTTTATCTTCCAGCCCTGTCTTTCTCAAGCACACTACCAAGATCAAACACAGGCATGTGTACAAAAACACATAGAAACACACAGAGTTGCACAGCACAGGTAAGGTATACAGAATATCAAAGCCCTGCACTTGCTCTCCGGTATGAATGATGGTTCTCCAGGAGCACCTTCAGATGAGAGGAGCAGGAGGTGTCTGATTTAGCGCTTCAATCTCGTACAAGAGGGGTCACTTTTCTCGCCACAAGATGACTTACGAGGGCACGGCCACTGCTTTCATTTCCATTTTATTGCGACGTACGGTGGCTAAACTTTCCCTCTACCTGCCGCAGAGGCTGTTGCATGAGCTCACCGAAGGACAGCGGCCACGGAAATGTTGTGTCCTCCAGACGAGTCCACTGAAGGTTTAGCTTTGTAACATTTGAACTGAAATATCCATCTATACGCAGGTATGGGCACTGCAATGTATAAATCCATCCAGGCATTTCATCTGAAGCCTGATTGAGAAGGAGCAATGAGTGCACACACTGTGTCCTACAAGTCAGGTGTGAACCTCACTATAACAGTCCTAATTGTATTAATATGACTTTTTTGTCCATTATTTCAGAAGCTCCTTTCACTAAAAACACATTCATCTTCCAAAGGATTTGAAGACGAGTCGTTTTCAGGGTTTTCAATTTCTATTGAAGGATACAACGTCAAAAAAGACCCAAGGTCAGACATGGAGTGAAAAAGCACAGTGTGGCTGAGTGGGCTGACACAACAGAAGGAGAGAGGAAGAGAAAGAGTGCATGACGTTTGCATGCGACTGTGAGCACTGATAGATAATTGAGAAATGCAGGCATAACAAGGGAGGAGAGAAAAAGAAATAGAGTGATCAATAGAGCGAGAATGTGCCAACGGAGTGAAAACAGAACAAACCAAACGGGGACACTGTCGGCAGAAATAAGACAGTTTGTTCCTCCAATTAGCCGGCAGAATTAATTAGGGCTCCATTGACGCACTGTGCAAGACAAATATAATTACATTACACCATTACTCCTCATCATTACAAGCTTGCCTCCTTGCTGATCCCTGAGGGAGTGGAGACAGCCAACTGGACAGCCAACTCTAAACAGGGGCCATGGAAAAAAAGAAGATGGCTGTCGGCATTGATTTAGCAGGAGGCTGGAACAACATTTCCACGGTAAGTCATGCTCAGGAGATAGATGTTGCTTTCTGGTCATCAGGCATCACACAGCAGAGTTAATGATGCTCCTATGGCTATAAACAGACTGTAATTCGGCCTGAGATGTGATCACTCACTCCCAGTGAGCTATATTTACCATCTGTGGCCCTTTACCCTGTTTTTGTCTGTATACAGCATGTGGAGCATGTGTGTATTTTATCTATGGTGATAGCTAGTTGGACGTATAGTACATGACATTCTGTTTTACACTGTGAGGAGTACTCTCAAAGCTTCGTGGGTGTTTGCATTTAAGCATTCCAACACAATTCTTCAAGATCCGACAAGAGAAGAAGGCTGACAGCCTGGCACTCCGACACGTAGTCTGTTCTCGAGACAGCGACAAATCTACAATCTAAAAATAATTAGAGATTTAAACTCACAGGAACAGGCTCTAAGAGTATTTTGAGGGGGTTTTACACCAGGGGAATAAAATCTTCAATCTGTGAAGATTCTCGGTCATCCAGGTCAAGGCTATTCAGGAAGATATGAAACTAATTCAACTAATTGCTGACTAACTGGGGGGGAGTCCCTTGTATTTAACCTCTGCAGGGTCAACAGCAATGCCATTGATGTTACTTGTTTCATTCATGCTTTTAGTTGTTGTAATGACAGTAGATAGAGTTACTAGAGTTATCTGAGGCCAAGTGTAAACAACAGTCAAGTTTACAGAGTCACATGAGGCCAAGTGTGAAAGGCCGGTAAATCTCCTGGGAGGGAATGAAAGGCCACCATTGTTGGTGGGCGATAAGTGGTAAAGCAGACTACCCTATCTGTTGAGGGATGGGTTCTTTTCTTTAAATTAAGCCCCTTTTACACAGCCTTTCAAATTGGAAACGGTGCGCCTTACAAATTGCACATGTGCGAGGTATTATGTTGGCTTGTGTGTTGCTATAGGTCTGAAAAACACAAGGATGCAGCACTTGTTAAAGGCTTCCCTGTATATGGGATGATGATGTTGCATTTATTCTTCTTTTCCTCACCACCTGCAGTGTACTTATGGCCAGTTAGGATATCATGAAGCTTTATGTGTCCCTCAGGTGTGCTCCTTCTCTCGGGCTTGGGCAATTGTTGGCACATTATCAGCTTTGCAGTGTTCTGATAAATCCTTGCCTGTGTTTGGTGGTGAGAGTCAAAGAGGTACAGATCAGTAGCTGGCACCTAATGGTCTGTACCACAATGAGAGATACTGGTGAGTTTGTGGCCTTGCTCTTGTCTATAAATCTCCCTGTTGTAGCATAAATATTTGGTGTTCAGAGGTCCAGCAGTTTACATATCTGGTGTCAGCCTGGATTTCTTGGAATAAAATATGTGGCTCTGCAATGACAGACAGCAAAAACAAATAACCTTGACTGTGTTTTAATAAGAAAGCATGGGAAGAGGCTTTCAACGACGCTGCTGTGCTGTGTGTGTGGTAATGGGGTATCATTTGTCTCGTGGGAGAGAGCAGTTCCCTGCAGCTGTGGCGTACATGGAGCTCACACAGCTGTGAATAAGGCGGCGTCAGTCAGGGCTGGCACACATCGGGAAGTCAGCTGAGAACGCCTGGCTCTCCTCTTACTGAGGAAGATAAGTGTACATGAAATGCAGCGCCGCCGAACAAGCCTGGAGGCACAGCACGAATATGGTCCATGGCTCTGGATAATAAGAACATTGAAGATTAAATGTTAAAGATTTTTGTTTAAAGAAATTCATATAGTCATAAAAATGGACAACAACTGTTTGACAATACTCCTGGAGGCTATTTCAATTCAGGAAGAGGTGCCAAAAGTCCAGTTGCGACTTATTTACTGAAATTAACGTGAAGCAGGAATTGTTTTTGTCTATAATGTGCCATCATGAATCATGCCATCTTGGGTTTAACACCTTGTGTGGATTATGAACAACACGCTGCAGAGAGCGTTCCATCCATTCCACGCTCAACCTGCTTCTCCTGCACAAATGTTTGAATTGAGACACTAGACTGCTTAATCTCTGTGCCTCGTACAGTTTGGGTAGAAGGGACAGTGAAATTGAAATGACAGTAAGTGGAACGAAGCACATCCTGAAAAAATGGATGTATCACTCCTTCGTTTTCTGCGCTGACAGGCTATTGATAGTTCCTTGGCTAAGCCCTGAGGTTCAAATATATGTTTCACCACTTCCTCACAGCCCCAAGTGTTTGAGGGTACATATAACAAAGCTAATGTATGCTGCAGTTACCATACTGCTGACTTTGCTGTGTTAACACAGGCCTAAGGGTATTATCCAAAAGACCGTAATCTATATAAATGACTCTGCATACCTCCCCCCCTTCTTCTTTCTATCTCTCTCCCTCCCTTTTTTTGCCCCCAACAGCTGTCCTTCCATATCTGTCTGTCCAGATCAATCTCTTTCCACCATCGTCCCCTCCCTGTATCTTCTCCTCTGCCCGTGGCGATGTTCCGCCGGCCGCAGTGTCTCCACAGTAAAACACTGTCCAACCTTAATCCTGCTCTAAAGCACCGACGGGAAGAAAAATTCACTTTCCCAATCCACAACAGCTGCATCTGTAACATCCTCCGACTCACAGCCCCTGGTCTCTTTACACTGTCGTCGTGCCTCAGTCTCACCAAGTTTCCTCCTCACGCCTTCACTCATAGTGGAACGCACATACATGGAGAGCATGACGCCTCCAGCCGGGAATGCTTGGAAAGGAGCCAAAGCAGATACCCTTCCCTTCCATGGAGTCTACAGGCAGCGTGGAAGCTTGATCCAACACGTGCAGCCATGCAACACTCACACACGGCCACGATTCTGAGAAAGACATGTTTTTCCAGTTCTAAACCTGAAGACATTTCCAACACATTCATGAGACAAATTATCGTAAAAAAATACACAGTTGCACCACAATGATGCGAAAATGAAAAACCTGGCAGTTGGCTTTATGATTCTTCGCTGCCCTGAACTGTAGGGATACCAATGACTTTCTAAAAACTTTTACAAGAATAAAGTGCAGTCACTTATAAGAGTAAATTGCTGTGTAATCTAAGACAGTGGGATACGGCCATGCTCTGATTGCGCCGAAGCTGTTGTGAGCTCTGGCAGAGAGTCAAACTGTGGTGTCGCTGAAAGATGAGATACACGCGTGGAGGTTCCTGCACAAGCTGAGTCGTAAGACCTGACAGAATTCAACGGACGCCTTTAACTGTGCAATTACATTCTACATGTACAGTGAGAGGAGGCTGTCAGCAAAGCTACAGTAC